TTTTTTTTTTTGGTACCAGGGATCGAACTCGGGTCCTTGAGCTTTCGAGGCAGGCGGCGGAACCACTGAGGTAAATCCTCGGCCCTTTTTTGTCTTTTTTGAGACAAGTTCTCACCACATAGCCTGGGCTGGACGGACACCTACCTCAGCCGCCTGCTGGGATTACAGGCCTGCGACACCAGGCCGGCTAGGCTTATCCCTCAGTGAGCTTCGGTAAGAGAAAACATTTTTCCAAACAGGCATTGGATCTGGGTGTGTTTTAGGCACAAATGTTATTTGCCAGCCTGTCACTCGCTCCCTTTTCAGGGCGCTGCAACTGGGAAAGCCCTGCGTTAGATCCCTTTCGTGGTCAAAGGGTCCCTCTAGTGGTGGATGGCAGTAAGTGTTCATTCTGGAGCTGTCCACTAATTTAGATTTAGATACAAATGCGTAGTGTCTGTTATTGTAAAACTTCTGTACAAAGGGAAATCAAAACCACGGGCTAATAAAGTTGGAGATCCTCTCCTGGTCCATGTTTTAAGCATGTCACTCAGTTATTCAGAAAGGCATTCACGTCGTCGTCGGAGCCTCATTCCTTTTTAGATTAGGAAATATTTATTGAGGGTTAAACAGTTCCTGCCTGAGAGGAACAGTAGGGAACCTGGAAAGTAGGTTGCTCCTCATTCATCATTCTTTCCTCTTTCCGGGGATCGAACTCAGAACCTTGCTCTTTCGAGGCAGACACAGAGCCACTGAGCTAAATCCCCAGCTCATTCATCATTCTTTAAACAAAGATAATGCCAGCTGAAATAATTCCAGGTTAAACAATTAATACTTTTAGCTTTTCAAGGACATGAAAAACCAGGTAATTATAAAATCTTCCAAAATCATTTAAAAATTCATGACGAGTGTGGTAGCCCACGTCTGTAACCCGTACATGCAGGAGGTGGAGGCAAGAGGATCCTATGAGTTCAAGGCCAGCCTGGGCTACATATCAAGACTTTTTAAAGAAAGAATTTTGGCTGGCCATGTTGGCACATGACTAATTTCAGCGCTTAAGATGCTAAAGCAAGAGGATCTCTCAGAGTTCAGGGCCAGCCTGGACTCCATAGTGAGACTCTGTTTTAAAAAAAAATGTTACGGGCCGGGGATTTAGCTCAGTGGTTCCACCACCTGCCTTGCAAGCACAAGGATCCGAGTTCGATCCCCGTTACCGAAAACCAAACAAACAATAATGTTA